AGCTGGCGGTTTCTCCAGTATCGTCGCCGGTTCTACTACAGGAGCCCTCGGTACCACTACCACTACCGGAGCCATCGCTTCGACTACCAGTTCAGAAGCCATCGCTTCGACTACCACTACTGGAGCCATCACTTCGACCACCACCACTGGGGCCATCACTTCGACCACCACCACTGGAGCCATCACTTCGACCACCACCACTGGGGCCATCACTTCGACCACCACCACTGGAGCCATCACTTCGACCACCACCACTGGGGCTATCACTTCGACCACCACCACTGGGGCCATCGCTTCGACTACCACCACTGGGGCCATCGCTTCGACTACCACCACTGGGGCCATCGCGTCGAGTGCCTCTACTGGGGCCATCTCGTCGAGTACCTCTACTGAGGCCATCGCTTCGACCACCACCACTGGGGCCATCGCATCGAGTACCTCTACTGGGGCTCTCGCTTCGACTACCAGTACAGAAGCTATCACTTCGACTACCACCACTGGAGCCATCACTTCGACCACCACCACTGGGGCCATCGCTTCGACTACCACCACTGGGGCCATCTCGTCGAGTGCCTCTACTGGGGCCATCTCGTCGAGTACCTCTACTGGGGCCATCGCTTCGACCACCACCACTGGGGCCATCGCATCGAGTACCTCTACTGGGGCTCTCGCTTCGACTACCAGTACAGAAGCTATCGCTTCGACTACCACTACTGGGGCCATCACTTCGACCACCACCACTGGGGCCATCGCTTCGACCACCACCACTGGGCCCATCGCTTCGACTACCACCACTGGGGCCATCGCGTCGAGTGCCTCTACTGGGGCCATCTCGTCGAGTACCTCTACTGGGGCCATCGCTTCGACCACCACCACTGGGGCCATCTCGTCGAGTACCTCTACTGGGGCCATCTCGTCGAGTACCTCTACTGGGGCCATTGCCTCGAGTACCTCTACTGGGGCCATCGCGTCGAGTACCTCTACTGGGGCCATCGCGTCGAGTACCTCTACTGGGGCCATCGCATCGACTACCACCACTAGGGCCGTCGCATCGAGTACCTCTACTGGGGCCATCGCGTCGAGTACCTCTACTGGGGCCATC